GAAAAAAAAAAAAATACTTTCCTGAAAATCAAGTCAATTTTTTCTTTGGCTGAAAAGTATTTTTCGTTAACCAGAAAGTGTTTTCTGTTGACTGGAAAATATTTTTCGTTGACTAATTTTTCTAATAATAAACAAACATAAAAAAATTTAAAAAATAATTTTTAAAAAACTACTTTTCAATCAACAATCATGGCTAATAAAGAAATTAGAAAACAAGCTACAGAAGGAGATTGAAAGGCATTTGGACACTCAACTCGTCCTTGGATATTTTTTTTCTTCTTTTTTTCTTAATCGTCCTGCAAGTATCAAATGATGTTGTCTTAATTATATTCGTTGTGCGTAGAAAAAATAAATGTACCTGAGCTCCAATATTATAAAACGTGAAGGCTGAGCTCGCTCAAGTACCGGTAATTCCCTGGTTGACTGAATTGCTAGTCACTCGTCGCCGGGGATGTGATATTTACTTGATTGTCTCGTACTAATTGCAGTTTATGACGTGACCATTGGCTACAAATCTTGGTGCCCATCTTTGTTGGACAATGTCTTTGGGGTGAACCCTTCAGAAGTTCATGTTCATGTCAGGCGAATAGCCCTTGATGACTTCCCAACATCTGAAAAGGAGGTTTCTGCACGGTTGATGAATACATTCCAACTGAAGGACCTATTACTTTCTGATTTGTATTCGCAAGGCCATTTCCCTCATCAAGGAACCGAAGGAGATCTTTCAACGCTGAAGTGTCTTGTAAATCTTGTGGCCGTAACGATGCTAATTAGCACATTTACTTCGTTTACTTTTTTCTTGTCGATTTGGTTCATAATTTATGTATCTCTAGTGTGTTGTTACCTGTCATCTGCAACCTTCTTCAATGTTCGTCCCAAGCCTCTTATATAGGCAACATAGAACATCAACTGCCAATTAATTCAATTTTACACTTTCTCCTTATTTTACCTATGCTCCCTTCACATCATGAAACATCTCTTGAAGTTCCTGGTTTGAAAAGAAAGCTGAAAGTTTAGGGGCTTTTATTTTCCTGTCCCAAGAGGGTGTTATTGTTGCAAGACTTAGACAACCAATTTCATTTTGGATATGATCTTCGAAATTGTGCACGCACTGGTTGGCGTAATCTCATTTTTGCCTAGAAATACTTTTTGCCACAGCTTTCAAGCTTCCATTGCTATATTTGACACCTTTTGCCACAGCTTTCTGTTGGGAATTTCCGACCGGTGATGTACTAGAAAGCCACCTTTAGGTAGTGTCTGTTCTCCACTTTGGTAAGGTAACGCATCTTGATTTGCCACTTCAAATGCTTCCAGTGCGTTTGCCACCATGCAAGGAGAGCAGGGGTTCGATCTGTAGGCTGGTTTTTACGTAGAAATAAAGAATTTCATTGGATTCGTACTTCTGAATGACTTGAATTCCTCTTGAGCTTTGTGGAATATACGACTCCAACTGACCTATTCACACTTTGGAGGGAGTCTGATCGATCCTAAGAATAATTTTCCGTGCTTACTGTTATTATTTCTTCACTTGCATTCAAAGCACAAGGGATGCCTTCATAAGATAAGGACTATCTTTGCCACAGTGTTTATTTTCTTCTGTATGAATCTTCTAATGTGTGATGACTTGCAACATTAAGGAGTGAGTTTCATAGAAATTTTAATTAGCCATTTACACAGAAATCCTATCCTTTATTCACAATGGAAGAAATGTATGCCAAGTGTTGCATATTTGCGTGAATCTTTTGCTACATGAACTGACTCTTTGTGGTCTATGATGATAGTAGTACGTAGCTAAAAAGAAGTATCACTCTAATGCAGAAACTTAGTATTGTCATGTTCTAGAGAGGTGTGTGGGCACGTATTTCTGCATGGGGGTTGTGAGGAAATTCCAAAAAAGAAAAAACGAAAAGGAGGGGAAATTCCAAAAAAGAAAAAACGAAAAGAAAAGAAAAGGACTAAATTCTAACTTGGGGAGCACAAGGATGTCTTGTGTGGTGAAGTTGAAAGCTTCAAAGCAAAATGAGAAAAGCCCTGATCTCTACAACACTACCAGTCAAAAACTTTGAATTAGAGTCTGTCTTGAATCAAAGATGTTTGATTAAATTTTTCAAAAAAATTAAAATTTTATACTTTTAAATAGTTTTGGTATGCGTACTCATGTTAAAAATATTTTTTAATATATTTTTAATTAATAAAAAACTTTAAAAAACAACCAGTTCTCCGTCAAAAAAACAACGTACAATCTTGGGTTATTGCTAGGAACTCTGTTTAACGGAAAGAGGACTAGCATGTCCTTCTACTTGGTCTCATCAGCAACTAGTAATGATGATTCTTCAGAAAACATTTTGAGGAATAAGTGATCGCCGGACTATGATTGTTCATATATATATATATATATATATATATATATATATAACCAAACTATTGAGCAAGAAACAGATATACATTGGACAGAGTAATCAATGATCACAATGGAAATAATTAATGAATTTGAACTAATATTTGATATATAGTATGTACTGATAAAAATAGATATGAAATAAGAGTCCATGTTGTCGGAACGGAAACTAGAAACATGTTACTGCCTAAAAATCAGTGGCAGTCATAAATTATTTTCTTAAACATGATTCAAATTGCAATAATCAATTGTATAAACTAAAAAACTATGGGGATTTTATCATTAACATAGAACATAATTAAGAATAAGATATGTCTCAGAATATGAACATCTATCCAGTTGAAAGTATCAAGAAGCACCACCCCTTTAGTTGTTAGGACTTTTTATGATCCTTTGCAGAACCACAGTCCGAGCCCTCATGATATCGCGGCTGCACGAATCAGCTAGCACTCCCAAATCCTCAACATTCTTCATGAACACCCCCAGCTTCTTCTTGATCTCCTCGATTGCAACCTTCACAGCCCCATGTTCAATTGCGAAGTCAGTGGTTCGCATTAGCGCTTCAATCTCAATCTCCAGGCGATCAATGAGAACCCGAATGTTGTCCAGATCCTTTATGGCAACATAAGTACCAACTTGCATTGTGCTGATCACCTCCTTCTGTCCCTTCAATGCATTTTCATAATTCTTCCACAGAGAATCTATCCACTTCCCCATTGAACCTAATGGGATTGTTGATGCTGCAGCGACAGCGGCAACAACAGGAGGGGCAGTCATGGCTGCTGCCACAACTGAGCAAATCAATACAGTTGCGAAAATAGCTACAAATATCATACTTGAAACCTTCCTCCAAGCATGAATGCACTTGAGCTTCTTGTCAAGCTTATTCTTCCTAAGTTGTAGCTTCTCAAGCATCATTATCTGCTGCCTGTACACGGATTGAAAGATTTGAAAGAATTCATCGGTGAAAGGATCACCTGCTGCCTTGAAATTCTTCAGTTCTTCCAAGGTCCTCACATACTCCCTCCCTCCTGCATCACTTTCCTCTTCGAATTGTTTAAGCGAAACAAGAATCAGCAATTGGCTATCGCGGGCACGCTTTAGGCACTTCTCCAATGCAGCACAGAAATCTAGAGTTTGCAAGCTATTTTCGAAGTACTCCTCGACAAGCTCAAACAATTCTTGATTCTTCCATATATCTTTCTTGCACTCCAGGATAACCTTAACAACCTCTTGGTTCATCTCCAACAAGCATTCTGTGACTTCCTTCAACGAGTCAAATGAAAGCGCACGAACCTCAACCCCGACAGCAAGATTATTGATGACGTGATTGGTCCGAGCTTGGAGGGTGGTGTCAAAGGACTGCAAGTCCTTGTCGAGCCGGCAAGCAGCCTCATATGAGCTCAATTCAGTTGTGTATTGTAAATTGTTATTGAGATTGATATCAGAAGATGATGCTTCAGCGGGCCTCTTGCTCACATGCCCTCCCATGGCCTCGATTCAAATCTAAACAATCAAGCAGGAACCAAATTAACCAGATTCACTTTAGACCCTTCTTGCAAACCATGAACTTCCCTGATCCTACCAACAATAACAGAGAGACGAGATCTTGAAAGTCTATCCAGCGCAGGAGTTCGGATCTATTATAACCTAGCTACGAAAAAGAAACAAAGACTAGCCGCCAAACCAAGAAAATTTCGAGCTTTATCTTATTCAAAGCTGACACAAAAAGTTATCATAGATCACCAGAATGTTTTTAAAGATAGCTAGATTTTAAAGGCTCTAAAACTGATCAAGAGAAAAAATGACCCGATAAGAGAGAAGTACAAGCTTAAGCCTCGGAACCCTTTGTCAACAAAAGTAGAACATCTTAATTAGAATCAACAAGGGACAATTATTAATTATGATAAAAAGGTACTGGTGAGATTTTCTTTATAAACAAGTAAACTAATAAAATAAATAAATAGAGATGATAAATTGATTAGCTAAAAGAGAAGTAGAGGTGATTGAAGAATGAAGAAGCTAAAAGAGAATTGAAACCGTTGAAGGACGAAGAAACAAGGAAGAAGGGTAGCTGAGCAAGTGGCTCATAGTTTAGAATGATTTGAGCATATAGCTTGCACGCATGACATTATTAAGAAATTGGGTCTTGGAATACGCGGGAAGCAATGTTTTTCTCCAACTTTATCTCTTCTTTCTAAGCTCTTCACAGTTTTAATGCGCAAAGCAACGGTTACCAAAGAAAAGATAGACCCTTTGTGGACGACTAGCTGGTCTGGTTATATATATGTATGTATGTATGTATAGAGTTAATAAGAAGTTAATTAAGGTAGTTTAGGTCGTGACAAAGGCACCGTTAGGGTTAGGGGAGGCGGTCGAAATATCTTTTATAAAAAAATATTTTTATTATTAAAATTATATTTTTATATCATTTTGACACATAAATTTTAAAAAATAAAAAAATACATATTATTTTGATATATTTGTAAATAATTAAAAATAATAATTATTACCATACTATTAAATACTCTCTAAAAAATACATAAAATCAAGATATTCCAAAGATAAGAAAGAAAAAGAAAAAGAAAAAGAAAAAGAAAAAGAGTGAGATGCTGCAATTTTGCTCCCGGAATCATTTGGTCGGTGGCTATACTTTTTCACCTTTTCTTTCTGAAATTCGAAGTGTGCAAATCCATGAATAGACACTATCCTTAACTCTTAAGTTTTAAGAGGCATAAAATCACGTGATTTACTTATGATTTAACTCATGTAGTTAAATTGATTGCACATCTCTTTCTAAGATCATCATACTAATGATTTCGTACCTCTTTTGCTTTCAATATATATATATATATAGAGTAATGTATGCGTTGCAAAAATGTTAGCCGGAACCTAATTGGCTAATGAAGTGTGTAAGTTGTATAGTTTTTCATTTATCAAAATAATTTCTTTCTATTTTTTTAATTTTTAACTTTAACGTATTAAAATTATTAAAAAATTATATTTTTTAATTTTTAACGTATTAAAATTATTAAAAAATTAATGTAATATATTAGGCTTTCTACTGTCTTCTCAATGTATATAGCTCCAAATACACACGAAGGCTTTCTACAGTCTTCTCAATGTCTATAATGATCTTCTTCTTCTTCTTCTTCTTCTTCTTCTTCTTCTTCTTCTTCTTCTTCTTCTTCTTCTTCTTCTTCTTCTTCTTCTTCTTCTTCTTCTTCTTCTTCTTCTTTTTCTTTTGTTTCCTAATTCAACTTTGGAGCTATTATTTACAGAATAATTCCACCAGTTCTCAGATTTTCCCCCCCTCCATGAAGTCTCCTTGCCATTTTCACACAACGTCTACGAAACGTGAAGCACTACTTGATTTATTGATAAGTAAAGCATACATAATCTTTATTTGGGTTTTTTTTTTTAATTTGTGGGTACTTCTTGAATTAATCTTTTGATAAGAAATTGGAGTTATAATCACATTATTGCTGCACTACGATCCAGATCGATTGTGGCCAAGACTTGTTAATTAATAATTATATTATAGTCTTTGTATGAAATCTTATACCTTTCACGCCACATATTCCCCATATTCTTTTCCTGGAAATAGATATCAAAATCTTATAGTCTAATCGCAGAATGAGGATAAGAATAAATATTGACAAGAAATACCTGATTTTGTTCTTGAAAACACAAGCAACCTTCGTAAAGCTGTGAGCTTTGCTGCAGATTAGAACTCTAGAGCTGCTCTGGCGAGTTAGTAGAATGAATGCTCGACAGCTCCACTACTTATACTGAATCTTGTGACTTGCAAGCCAAGGAACTTGAAATTTTTTACCCATCTCTAGAAATGTATTCAACAAGATAAGCAGTTAGTGGTTTCTCACTTTTTATATTTCCCTTTTAAAAAAATAATAATATTTTTTATTAACGGTTTAATGTTATCATATCACTGTGTGAGCAATATTATTTAGCAATGAAATATAAGGTTTATATATAAACATGGTTGTTTTTTTAAATATTTTTCATGTAAAAATAAAAATATAATAAAATAATATTTTTTTATTTTTAAAAAATTATTTTTGAAATAGAAAACGAATTAAAACAATTTAAAAAAATATCAAATTTTTTTTTTTTGCTACAAAAAATTATACCTATTAAAAAGCGAAACCAGCCAACTATGCGGGAAAAAACATGTAAGAGAAGATTGATTTCTTAATTAAACAAAATGTCTTTAATTCAATATGAATATCATGTTGAACTTTGTAATAATATTTTTTATTTTATGAAAAAAATTAAAAATTCGGATTTTCCTTATTGTGGACTGCTTTCACTGCTAAGTTTTTATAATGTATTCATGTAGACATGATTAAATGTACGAGATCATTAATTATTTGTTTTCCAAAATAAAAAAGTGAAAAAACAAAATCACTGCAGTGGCTTGTACTGTAAATTACGTCAAGATAAGGGGTGTTATTTATCTTTGAGGCTCGTAACAAAAGCCGAATAACAAGCAGGTGGTTTACCGTCGTCAGCCCTCGAGGTGACGCGTCATTCGGTGTCACGTGTATGTAAATTATTGGTTGCCGCCTTTATGAAATTTGAAAGTGATTTCCATGCTACGGGTCTGAATGGAGTCTGTAACATGTTGTATTTTATTTTTTTTAATTTAGAAATATATTAAAATAATTTAAAAATACTAAAAATAAATTACTTTTAAACATATTATTTTTAAAAATTTTAAACAAACAATATTTTATACTGCTACACAATCAATCCACGTATTCATGAAGTCACGTGCTTAATTGTTGCGTTCTTTAACGAGACACATGACATTATAATATTTTATTTTTATTTTTTATGATTAAAAAACTAAATCCTTCGTCATCATTTTTATTTTTTATGATTAAAAAACTAAATCCTTCGTCATCTCTTGCTTCTTCGACGTTCTGTCTATCAACATGACCATATAACTAACAAATGTTACGGAAAATCCGATTGATTGTTTGATCTTATCAGCTTACTGTAGATTCCAGGGCTATATTTGGTTACTTGAATAAAAGCTCAAAGATATATCCATTTGTTTAACCTATTTAATAATTATATTTTATTTTGGTTGAAGATACGATTTATTTATTTTTAAAAATTAAAGATATAGATTTTTAAGATTAGAACATGATTTAAATATTCCATCTTTTTTATACTCCAAAATTAATAAAAAAAAAGATTCAAAGAAGCTTAAAATTTTTAATTATTGAATATCATTTCTCACTTTTTTATTAATTTGACTTAAATTCTCATGAATAATACTACTTTAATCAATAACCATTGTTTTTCTTTATATTTAACTATAATGATAATCAATGATATCCTAAAAAATCTAAATAGTTTGAGACAAAACTTATATCTTGGATAATCAAGTAATTTTTTAGTTTAGATAATTTAATTCATTCTTTCTAATTAAGGTGATTAGTGACTAGCGTTTAGTAAGCCAAACTGGACGGTGACTTATATTTGTAAAAAAATCATTTTGGTGAATTTTAAAATTTTTTAATACTTAAATAAGTATATTTTTAAGAGAAAAAACAATCATATTTTAGAGAATAACTTTGAAAATAAATATACCATAGAAAATAGAGATTCAAAACCTAGAGTTCGAAGAATTCATCCTCTTTTTAGAGTTCATTATGCTTGTTGTTTTTAGAGATAAATAAGTTTAAGTATAATTTTATTCTAATAGTTTTAATATCTATTATATGTCAAAAGAGAAAAGATTTCCTTTAACTCATCAGAATCTTAAGGTCTTACATAAAGCCAAACTTTACTTCACAATCTTAAGGCTTTATTTTATACAATCTTTTATATATATATATATATATCTTAGACTAATGAGCAATGATGTATAATTTATTATAATAAGATATATTAAACATAAAAAAGTTTTCAACAAAAACCTAGAGTACATACAAATTTAAATATATAAGAATGCAAAAAAATTAACTCATGATAAACATGTTATCAACTCAAATATAATACTAGGAAATGTATTAATAACATATCCAAACTTATAATTTATACTAATTCAAAGTCTTAGCATGCATGTTAATAATAATATTATATATGATTAAATTAAAACAAATGAGGATACTTGTTGAATCACTTTAAAGTAATAAGAATTTTGTTATTTTCAAAGATGAATTATTTATCTTTAAGGCTTTATTGCTCCTTACTTGTAAAATTAGGATGTTTGCAATATATTTTTTAAGATTCCAATAACACATTGACTTAAATACACTTCAAAACAAGGTCTTTTAACGAATTTAATTTATTTTTTCTAATCAAGGTGGCTAGTGGCTAGTGGCTAGCGTTTAGCAAGCCAAAGTGATCGGTGACTTATATTTGTAAAAAAATCATTTTGGTGAATTTTAGGATTTTTTTAATACTTAAATAAGTATATTTTTGAGAAAAAAAACAATCATATTTTAGAGAATAACTTTGAAAATAAATATACCATAGAAAATAGAGATTCAAAACCTAGAGTTCGAAGAATTCATCCTCTTTTTAGAGTTCATTATGCTTGTTGTTTTTAGAGATAAATAAGTTTAAGTATAATTTTATTCTAATAGTTTTAATATCTATTATATGTCAAAAGAGAAAAGATTTCCTTTAACTCATCAGAATCTTAAGGTCTTACATAAAGCCAAACTTTACTTCACAATCTTAAGGCTTTATTTTATACAATCTTTTATATATATATATATATATCTTAGACTAATGAGCAATGATGTATAATTTATTATAATAAGATATATTAAACATAAAAAAGTTTTCAACAAAAACCTAGAGTACATACAAATTTAAATATATAAGAATGCAAAAAAATTAACTCATGAAAAACATGTTATCAACTCAAATATAATACTAGGAAATGTATTAATAACATATCCAAACTTATAATTTATACTAATTCAAAGTCTTAGCATGCATGTTAATAATAATATTATATATGATTAAATTAAAACAAATGAGGATACTTACTTGTTGAATCACTTTAAAGTAATGAGATTTTTGTTATTTTCAAAGATGAATTATTTATCTTTAAGGCTTTATTGCTCCTTACTTGTAAAATTAGAATGTTTGCAATATATTTTTTAAGATTCCAATAACACATTGACTTAAATACACTTCAAAACAAGGTCTTTGAACCAAATAATATAAAACTCAAATATCTTTCAATAAGATGAATATAAGCTCTAGATTTGGAAGGAAAACCAAAACATAAAAAAGAATGAAAACAATAAAAATAAGGTGAGAAAAAATATGAAAAAATATAAAAAAATTTAAGTTAGAAACTCTTCCTTGTAAAAATATGAAAAAATATAAAAAAAATTCTTATATTGAATTTTGGAAGCGAAAATGTTAAAGAATTAATTCCCACCATTGTAAATCAATAATTAAATTTAGAAAAAAATAAGAGTTTTTTAGTGATAAAACCAAGTGCTCTTTGAGATTAATTTCTCATTTACCTATATTTTGTTTATTTAAAATAAATTTTCAACAATACCATATTAATCAACCTATTTTATCTTTTTAAAATGATTTTTTTAATTATAAAAGTATATAGTAAACAACCTTTTTTTTTAATTAATTCCCCTTCATAATCAATTTGATTCTTTCTTATTTTTATATTTTGTTGCCAAAACCAAACACTTTCTTCAATTAAAGATCTATTTTGCATAAAATATTTTACATGTAAAATATTTTTCATTTGTTGGTTTGAAAAATATTTTTCCATAAAATATTTTGATGGTAAGATTGTCGTGGTCAAAGGCTATAAACTAGGTCAAACTCTTATCAATTTCTTTTTTTGTAATAATATTAAATTAGCCCAAGTATTAATGCCTCTATATAGACCACATCATTAGTCTCACAAATGCTATTAGTAGAATACATATAGCTCTTAGAAAAAACACACACTCTCCTGTTATCTAATCCCAACTTAAGATTTTTGGCTTGTTGCTTGCTTATTTTGTGTTTTGAAATTAACCTAGTTCATCTTTTTGTTTGCTACTTGCTTATCTATGTAAGGTGTAAAAAGTAGTAACACTTAACTCTCAAACTGTTTTGTACCCATCTAAATCTCTTTGATTTTTTTTTCCTTTTCAATAGTTTGTTAATAGTAAAGAGAATAGAATGTTTTTTGATATATTATTCATCAATGTAGCATATATATATATATATACAAGAGTCAATTGCTAAACTTATGCTACTGTTAACAATAGTCAATTGCTAAACTTATGCTACTGTTACAAAATATATATTCTATTTCTATATTTGAATTCTATCTCTAATAACAGCTAATAATCACTCTGATATTATAAGAGAAGATTACTCCTAATCATATATTCTAACATCCCTCTTCTTCAAGGTGGTGTATGGATGTCATTCATGCTTAGCTTGTCAAGACAACTTATAAACACTTTGTTGGATACTGTTTTTGTAAGAACATCAGCAAGTTAGAATTCTGACTTTATAAAAAAGAATTGGATAATGCTAGTTTCAAGCCTCTTTGATGAAATGTCAATCCACTTTTACATGATTTTCCCTATTATGTTGAATAGGATTATGGGCGATCTTTATAGATGATTTATTATCACAATAGAGATTCATTACAATTCTTTAAGAGCATCCCAAATCTTTCATCAAGTTTTTTAACTATAATAATTCACACACTCCAATGGCTATATCTTGATATTCAACTTCAACACTTGATTTTGACACCACAAACTATTTTTTACTTCTCCAAGTAACAAGATTTCCACCTACATAGGTGAAATAACCAAATGTATATTGTAGGTCATTAGCTGAACCAGCCCATCAACATCAGTATACTTGTCGACACCTAAATGTCCATGTTTAGAGAATAATAGTCCTTTGCCTAGTGAAGATTTTAAATACTGTAATATACGTTTCATAGCATCTATGTAAGGTTGACGTGGATTATGTATAAATTGACTTATAACACTCATAGCATAAGCAATTTTAGGTCAAGTGTGGGATAAGTAGATTAATTTTCCCATAAGTCTCTAATATCTCCTTTTATCTGTATAACTAACACTAAAACATTAAAAGAGTTTATAATTTTACTCAATTGGATTATCAACTGGTTTACATCCAAGCATTCATGTTTCAAACAACAAATCAAGAGTATATTTACATTGTGACATAAATATACCATGCTTGGAACAAACTACCTTAATCATGAGGAAATATTTAAGGTCTCCAAGATTTTTCATTTCAAATTCATATAACAAATGATGTTGTAAGTAATGAATTTCCTCATCATCATCACATGTTACTACCATATCTTCAACATATATAATCAAGGTAGTGGGTTTACCCATTTTATTCTTTATAAATAGAGTATGATCCAAGTTACTTTGATTATCACCAAAAATTTTCATAACTTGAGTAAATTTACTAAACCAAGCTCTATAAGATTATTTCAAGTTATACAAAGCCTTCCTGAGTTTGTGAATCTGAGTAGAATCTTCATATTTTGAAATTCTAAGAGGTGGATCCATATACACATCCTCTTTAAGATCTCCATGCAGGAATACATTTTTGACATCGAACTGGAGTAAAAGCCACTCTTTATTAAGTGTTAAAGACATAAGAACTCGCACTGTATTAAGTTTAGCAATTGGAGTGAAAGTTTCTTGATTGTCAACTCCATATGATTATGTGTACCCTTTAGCACCAGTCTCACCTTGCATCTTTTAATAGTTTCATCTACATTATGTTTGATAGCAAAAGGCCATCAATATCCAATAAATGTTTTTCTTATTGAAAGGGTAACAAGATTCCATATAGCATTTTTTTTAGAGCTTTTATTTCTTCCGTCATAGTTGTAGTCTAATGAGAATCTGCCAAAGCTTTCTGTAATGTACTAGGAATAGAGATAAAGGATAATTTACATACATAAGATGCATATGAAGTAGACAACTTATGAGATAAGATATAATTACTTATTAGGTATTTTACTTTGGCTTTTAGATCAAGTTCATACTTAATAAGTGGAATCCAGTAGATCGTGGTGGAAGTGTATGATGAGCAATGTCAAATAACAAATAAATTTCAAAAGAATTGTTACGTTGTACCTATAATGTTGGTATCGGCAAGGACTCTAGAGAGGAGTTGACTGGTGCACTAAGAGGTAACATATTATCAAAAGGTTGGTAAGACTTTTCATAATGAACATTAAAGTCTTGTGAACAAGGATCAATAGCTATAGTGTGTCAATAGATGTGTCTTGTAAACAAGAATCAATAACTTTAGGTGTTTTCATAGTGGAGTTGTCCTCATTCAATGGTCTACTAGTAGATAGAGTTGCTAATTTTATATCAAAACACAAGACCTCTTCATGATTATGAAGGTGACAAACATCTTTAGGACATATAGGTGTTAAATCTGTAGGAGAGTAATAGAATTTTGACTTATCAAAGACAACATCCATAGAGTTATAGAACTGACGAGTGTCTGGATGATAACATTTACAACCTTTTTTAGTAGACCTATAACCAACAAAGACACATTTCAATGTTATTGACTCAAGTTTTGTTTGATATTGAGGTGAAAGGTGCATATAAGTTACACATCCAAAGATACGAGGCATCAATTTAACCAAAGATGGTAGCATGCAATGATTAGTAAGGACATTAAGAGGTTATTGAAAGAATAGGGTACTGAAAGGTGTACGATTAATCATATAAATAGTTATACTGAGAGCATTTCCCCATTAAAAAGTAGGCACACTACTTCCAATCATTAGTAATCGAATGACCTCAAGTAATTGTCAGTTTTTCTGCTTAGCTACTCAATTTTGTTGTGGAGTCTTTGGACATGATGTTTGATGAATGATACATTTTGAATGGAAAAAAATAGTTAACTCTCTCTTGAAGTTTCCACCTCCATATCTGAACGTACCATCTTAACAGTCCTGTCAAACTGAGTGAGTACCATTTGATAAAAGAGACAAAAAACTGTACAGACATCACTCTTATGTTTTAGTAAGTATACCTAAGGTACTCGAGTACAATCATTCATAAAGATAATAAACCATTTCATTCCATTAGTTATGAAAATTAGGGAGGGACCTCATACATCTGAATGTATTAATGAAAATGATTAATGAAAATGGTGAAGCAACTTTATTAGAAGACAAAGGAAATATAGCACGATGACTTTTAGCTATAGCACATGTCTTATAAATAAAGTCTAAAAATTTACAGTTAGCAAATACAAACAATCATTTAATATATTCAAACGATGGATGACCGAGCCGTTTATACCAAAGCTATATTTCTGCAATATTTGCCGATTGATTTTTACCCATCATATATGTTAGACTATGGTAAATCTGTGATGATATGCCACCCTCTAGATAATACAATCCTCCTTGTTGCCTACCACTGCCAATCCTCTTCTTGGTATTTATGTTCTAAAAAATTACTATAAGTAGGATAAAACAAAGTAACACAGTTAAGGGCCTTGGCTATTTGACTAATAGAAAGTAGATTACATGTAAGGGATGGAACATACAGTACATTAGAGAGAGATAAGGTGGAGGATATAGGAACATTACCAACACTAGTAACCAGGGATGACACACCATTGGCATTAGTAATAGCTAAGATATAATGTGAAGAGGATAAAAAACTAAAGTTTGAAGAATCACAAGTCATATGATCATTAACACATGTGTCAATTATCCATTCGCTATCTTTAATACAGGAAGGAGAGCTAAGTGTAGTACTAATCATACCAGTTTGTGCACTTAATCCTGCAGCAGATGACGCTGGTTATTGTTGTAGGGATATGTTGGCAAAATTTTTCTTGCCTTTTGGATGCCATTCAAGATAACCATGAAGTTTGAAGCATGTATCAACAACATGATTATCACCATTACAGTGAGTACATTTGTGTGTCCCTTGTTGTCTTGTCGTGTGTAGATCTTTCACGTGTCCCTTTCTTGTTGTCTTGTCGTGTGTAGATCTTTCTAGTAGCCATAGTAATACCATCAGTAAATATTCCACCCATTATAAAATCTTGAAGGTTTGCCTTAGCACAAACCATAACATAAGTAACTTAAAGATTTAGAAGAGGTATAGTGGCAAGTACCCATCCACGAACTCCATCTAGTGATGAGTCCAAACTAACCAAAAAAATATAAACCCGTTAAGAATTAACCTTAGTGGTATATATCTCAATGTCAGTTTTGTAACTCATTGCACAATCATTTATAGCATTAATCTCCCGCCATAGTTTTTTTAATTTTCCCTAATAAAAAATAACAAAACCATCGTTTTAGAAAACATAGATTACCTCACAATATAGTTGATATGATTTTAAGGCATATTGACTAACTGAGTATGTTTGTTTAGCTATATCTCAAATTTCCTTTGTTGTTGGCAAGCGTAAAAAAATGGATCTAATGTCTTTGTTCATTATATCAAGTAACTAGGATTTGATCAAACAATTTTCATCTTTCCATGCTTTATATTCTTTAGAGTTGGTGTCATTAGGTGTAGCTTTTGAACCTGAAACAAATCCCCAACATTATCTGATGTCTTTGTTCATCACATCAAGTAACCAGGATTTGATCAAGCAATTTTTATTTTCTCATGCTTCATATTCTTTAGAGTTGGTGTCATTAGGTGCAACTTTTGAACTTGAAATAAATCCCTTACGCTTTCAATCCTGAATTTTATTTGAGCATTTAAAGCCCATTTCATATAATTGGTGCCATCAAGTTTCTATAGAGTAAGTAATGAAGAGACATCTTGTATTTGTAATGCTGGTAAAATTACCTTTGCATTCTCGACAACAACACCATCATCATTGGTAGGAGTAGTCATGATGAGTACAAAGAATTATGATCAGAAAAGAACAAAAAAAAAAAACAACCTCTAATTACTAAAATGGATGAAGGAAATATAGAGGCATCTATGATACCACGTTAATAATAAGGAGAATATAATGTTTTTTGATATATTATTCATCAATGCAACAGATATATATACAAGAGTCAGTTGCTAAACTTATACTATTGTTATAAAATATATATTCTATTTCTATATTTGAATTCTATCTTTAATAATAACTAATAATCACTTACTTCCAATCATATATTCTAACATAGATCTATTTCTGTTATTATAGGAGAAGATTACTCCCAATCATATATTCTAACATAGATCTATTTTTTTTTTCTTGTTATATCTATGGAATTGATAAACATTAATAAATGATATTCTTTTTATGTCAAATACAAATCTTGAAAGTTATTTTAAATGCAATTCAAGATTTCAAAAGGATAAGGAAGAATTATAAATTTGATTAGTGAAGTTAAAATAATCAGCATCTAGTTTATACATTATGTCTTAACTAGAAGCATATACACACATGGCAAAATTTCTTGTTTGTTTTGTATCTTTGTAAGAATATAAGCAAAGGGAGACAAAACTTGAAAGCAATATGTTGTTCCATTTAAGTTACTATAATTCTATTTAAATCAATTACATCAATGTATTCTTAACTTGAATGATGAAATTAGTAAATTTTATGAAAAACTTGGTCTTTCTCATGGATTATATATATAAACTTGACCATGGTTGTAACTATAATATTGCTTTTGCTTTGGACATGTAATTGGATTGAGTCAAATTAAATATAAAGCAAAATAAGATGAGTGTTTATTGTTATATTTTTATATGTTGATTCAACATATTTCAAAGCTATCGTTTGGCATTTAAATTGTTGCAAATATAATTGGAAGGGCTTAAAAGTTAGTTTATATAATCTTAATCTACCATATATAACCCAAAAGAAATACATGTGCAATCGATAAATCCCGACTTATAGACCTATATGTGTATTGGTGGGGGATAAGTGAGAGGGATAATTACTTGAATTAAATATGCTTTATTTCAGTTTTATTTGCCTTGCATTTAAACTGAATTGTATAGTTGTATATGTCACATGTGCTAATTTCCACTCATTACTTATAAATCAATAAATTACTTGAATAAGTTAAAAATTATAATAGAGTGCAGGAAGAAAAAGATGAGAAACTATGTTTTCATTCTTTAAAGCGAACAAATATCAACTAGTAAAGGATATTCTTTATCGAATGTTGATGTCATAAATCATAATGACCAACCCCTTTTCAAATCTTAAAAAGTTGAAATTGATATTAATACTCTTGAACAAGATCTTGGGATATAGATATATTCTAATGTGGCATCATCCTATTAATCAGTAAGATGAAATTAGAAGATCTTATATCAAAATGGGTTCATACTAACCTAAGTTTGTAGAGTATCCGAAGACCTAATCAGGGAGACAATATCACCGATTTCAGTATACTTGGTTTGATCAATTTTCTTGGTTAGAGTACACTCCATCAAAGAGTGCAATATTTGTTTTCCATATTTTCTCTTTGAAAATATAGTGCTTTTTCATCCCACACTAACTATTAAAAGCTTTAAAATTTGCAAGAGGGTTAACTATGAGGTTAGATGTGCCCTTTTAATACATTTAGGAAGTCCCACTTCACCACATAATAATGCTATGAAATCTCCTGAACAGGGGCGGAACTAGGGGAGGGCAAGCAGGGGCCCGGGCCCCTGCAAAACATTTTAAATTTTTTTATTTTTTAATATTTTTTAATTTAAATAAATAAGTTTTTTAATAATATATATTATTATATTAATTTTAGCCTCCCCTATGAAATGTGCCTGGCTCCGCCCCTGCTCTTGAAGATTTAATGAAAGTAAATAGACATATTGATAATGTATTAAATGCACAAACTACTGAAGAAGTTTATAAGAGTCAGTTGCGACTTAAGATAACAATTGAAAGTGTTTAATAACTTAACTTACAAGTATATACATTTAGAGGTCATGAGGAATTTTCATCTTCTAATAATTAAGGCCATTTATGGAGATGATAAGACTTAAAGGGAGAATGAATGTTAACATTGGTGTTGTTGTCTCAAAAAGATATTTTACATTTTCTTGCGAACAAAATGAAGAAAAAATTTGTGAAGAAGTTGGAGATGCAAAGTTTTATATTTTGGTTAATGAAACCAAAGTGCATCAAATAAAGAACAAATTGCTATTATTTTAAGATTTTTAGACATTGAGGGTTTCTTACGAGAGTGTTTTTTTTAAGATTATGCAAATTTCAGATATTATTGCTTCAATACTTAAAACAAAGAAGTTATTGATGTGTGCACTTGATATAACTTGCATATCCTCAATATACAAGGTTAAGGGTATAATGGTGCTAGCAATATGCATAGCTCATAAAATGGACTACAAGCATTATTTCTCAGAGATTGTCTTTATATATCTTATATACATTACTTTACCCACTAACTATAATTGGAATTAGTTGTAGCAACTGGAAATGAGATTTTTATTTGTTTTTTTTCAAAACTAATAAATATTATCAATCTTATTAATGCTTCTCTTAAACATCATATCGAGTTACATTCTGTTAAAGCTATAAAAATAGCACATACGGTAGCTACTAAAAAATATGAGACTAGTAAAGGAGCTAATCAAATTGGTAATTTACATCAAAATAGAACTACTTGGTGGAGCTCTTATTTTGATTACATTTGCAACTTAATAGATATATATGGTGAAACTATTATTGTGCTTTAAAGTATGGTTCAAGAATGATCTTCTAGTATGAAGAAGCTAGTGGTTGTTTGATTGTGATGAGATCTTTTGAATTTGTATTCATCTTCACATTTGATGCATAAAATAATAGGGATTACTAATTTTCTTTATTGAACCTTACAACAAAAATCTCTTGATATCTTAAATGCAATGGTTCTTGTCTCAATTATTAAGCATTGATTCGAACTTTAAGCAATACTAGATTTGATCTGCTCTTTGCATATTTGTAATATGTTTGTACACAATATGAGATTGATATACCACATATAAATACTTCATATAAAAAAGCTACAAGTCCTTCATATTAATAACAAGGATCGATGACAGTTTATCAACATTATCATTATGATATATGTTTAACTTAATAATTGATTTTCAGTTCAAAGACTAAAATTCTAGATTCATTAATGGGACAATAAAACTCCTTGTACTTAGTTATGTTTTAGAGCCTAATGACAACTTTAAACCATTTAAAGTTAATGTTATTTGCAAGCTTATTGAGAAATTTCATCTTGAATTCAATGAACAAGATATGCATTATTTGAAATCTTAGATAGAGCATTATCAGATTGATATGATTCAGCACAAGGACTTTCAGAATATGTCTATAATTTTTTAATTACATTAAGGATTAATTGAAACAAATGAGTCGCAGCATTATCATTCAATTGATAGGTTGATTTGTCTTTTTTTTTTTAATGTTTTCACTGCCACTATAGAATAAGCATTTTCAGCTATGAATTTTTTTTCCACAAAACATTAAAGGGTGCAATTTCAATAGTGTTATTGATTTTTATTTTTTAAAATTTTATATACTTTGAAGTTTGTTTTTTCATATTTTGTGATATGTATTTGGATTAAAACTTTGTTGTTAACTTAATAAATTTATGTATATGAATTAATAACTGATCTTGAAAAAACATTTCTATGTATTTGCTTAGTAGCTTAGGGTGCAAAAAAGTTATAGCTTTGCCATTAGGTGTGGTGGTGGAGGAGAAGGAAGTGGTGGTAATGTTCATGGTCATGGTCATGGTAGTGATTATGATGAAGAAAAAGATGGTGCTAGTGCTTGTGGTAGTTGAAATAAATGGATGGTATTGTAAATAAATTACTATTCTTAAAGTATTTTACGGAATTCCATGAGTAAAAAGTTTTTTTTTCAGTAAATAAATTAAGTTTAAAGGTTAGTTGTAAAATATTTTATAAGAAATAAATGCTTGAGAATATTTTTTATTTTTCAATATAATCATAAAAAATATTTTTCTGTAAAATATTTAATGCAAAACTAACAGAGTAAGATTAATCCAAATTCCAAAAAAAAAAAATTTAAAAAATATTTTTTTGTAAAATATTTAATGCAAAACGAACAGAGTAAGATTAATCCAAATTCCAAATTGCCAACAAAATCATTCACAAAGTATAAAATACTCAAAGCCCAAACAGACTTCCTATTAGTAATTGATGGGACAATAGAACTCTTTGTACTTAGCTAGGCTTTAGAGCCTAAGAACAACTTTAAATCATTTAAAATTGATGTTATTTGCAAGCTTATTGAGAAATTTTATCTTGAAGATTTTAATGAACAAGAGATGTATTATTTGAGATCTTAGATAGAGTATTATTAGATTAATGTGATTTATCATAAGAACTTTTAGAATATATCTACTATTTTTTAATTACATCAAGGATTAATTAAAACAATTAAAACAAATAAGTCGCAAATTAAACATTCGATTGATAAGTTGATTTGTCTCTCTGTTTTTTTTTTAATGTTTTCATTACCATTATAGAGCAAGCATTTTCAGCTATGAATTTTTTTCCACAAAACATTGAAGAGTGCAACTTCGATAGTGTGATTTTTTTATTTTTTTTATTTTACATACTTTGAATTTTTTTTTCATATTTTGTGATATGTATTTGGATTAAAGCTTTATTGTTAACTTGACAAATTTGTATATATGAGTTAATAATTGATCTTGAAATTTTTTTTTTATGTATTTGCCTAGTAGCTCATGATGGAAAAAATTTATGGCTTTGCCATTGGTTGTTGTGGTGGGGGAGAAGGAAGTGGTGGTAATGGTGGTGAAAAAAAAGTAGTGCTGGTAGAGATAGTAGAGGAGATGGTGGTGAT